GGTATGCGGGCCTCTCACTGTTGTGGCCTCTCCCGTTGCGGAGTACAGGCTCTGGATGCGCAGGCTCAGCGGCCATGGCTCACGGGCCCAGCTACTCCGCGACAAGTGGGATCTTCCCGGACCGGGGCACGAACCTGTGTCCCCTGCATCGGTAGACGGACTCTCAACCACTGCGCCACCAGGGAAGCCCTCTCATTGGGGTTTTAATTTACATTTCACTAGTGATTAGTGATGTTGAGCACCTTTTCACGTACCTGTTGGCTTTTTGTATATCTTCTTTGGAGAAATGTCTATTTAAGTCATTTGCCCATTTTTTAATTGAGTTATTTGTTTTTTGGTATTGAGTTTTATGAGTTCTTTATATATTTTGGATATTAAAGCCTTATCAGATATATGGTTTGGAAATGTTTTTTTCTATTCCATAGGTTGTCTTTTCACTTTGTTTATGGTTTCTTTTGCTGCACAGAAGCTTTTTAGTTTGATATGATCCAGCAATTTCATCTCTGGGAATATATCCAAAGGAAAAGAAAACACTAACTTGAAAAGATATCTGTACCCCTGTTCATTGCAGCGTTATTTACAATAGCCATGACATGGAAATAACCTAAGTGTCCATCAATGGATGAATTAATGGATAAAGAAATTGTGGTATATATATTGTGGTATTTACAATGTGATATTATTCAGCTATATCAACTGAAGAAATTCTACCATTTGCAACAACATGAATGGACCTTTAAGGCATTATGCTAAGTGAAATCAGGCAGACAGAAAAAGACAAATACTGTATGATCTCACATATGGAATCTTAAAAAAAAACTCATAGAAAAAAGATCAGATTTGTGGTTACCAGAGGCAGAGGGTGGAGGGAGGGGGAATTGGAGGGAGGTGGTCAAAGGTAAAAACTTCCAGTTATAAGATAAATAAGTAGTAGGGAGGTAATGTGCAACATGATGACTATAGCTAACACTGCTATGATATATAGGGAAGTTGTTAAGAGAATAAATCCTAAGAGTTCTCATCACAAGGAGAAATTTTTTTCTTTTTTTCTGTCTTTGCTTTTTACCTATCTGACATGTATCTATATGACAAGATGGATGTTAGCTGAACCTATTATGGTAATCATTTCATAATATGTGTGAGTCAAACCATCATGCTGCAAACTTGTACAGTGGCGTATGTCAATTATTTCTCAATAAAACTAGAAAAAAAGAAGGGGTCATCTAGCACTCAGATCTTGGTTTCCAATCTGTTCTCCAATAAAAGGAACTAGGATTCCTTTGAGCAATGGTTGATTCTACCTTTGGGGCAGGAAATATACAAGATGAGCCTGGAGCTCCCAGTGGCCAAAGGTACAAAAACACAATTTATCAAGTAAGTAAATACATGGAGGATAACAGGAGTCAGGTTTTTCATTGTCAGAGAACGTGATTATAAATATGCAAAGGGAGGGCTTCCCTGGTGGCGCAGTGGTTGAGAGTACGCCTGTCGATGCAGGGGACACAGGTTCGTGACCCGGTCCGGGAAGATCCCACATGCCGCGGAGCGGCTGGGCCCGTGAGCCATGGCTGCTGAGCCTGCATGTCCGGAGCCTGTGCTCTGCAATGGGAGAGACCACAACAGTGAGAGGCCCGCGTACCGCAAAAGAAAAAAAAAAAAATGCAAAGGGATAAAAATAGAATGAATGCTATGAATTGAAACTGGAGATATCAGCATAATCTCATGATTTGTGATATATTGATAGAAAAGTACAGAAATTTAAATATAAGTGTGTGAGTGTGTGATATTCCCCAGTTCTGTCTGCTAAAAGGGCCTGGAACCAAGGACAACAGCAGTGAGCACATCTAGCACCCAGAATTTAGTTTCCAGTACCATTCCCAGCTACCAGGAACCAAGGCTATTCAGAGAAATGGCTGCTTCTAGAAGTGGGACAGGAAAAGTACAAGACAAGCATCTTATGATGTCAGAAAGCAAGAAGTGCTCAAAGAATGATGAGGATATGTCACAAGAATATAGAGTCCACCTTGATGAGGTTCTCACTGGACAAATCTGGGAATCAATTAAGCACAGAAATAAATAATGACAGTAATAATTAAATCCACTGAGCAAAACAGAGAACTATGAGTCAGTAAACATAGCTAGCTAGCTAGATAGATAAATTGATAGTTTTGTGAGGAAAGGACCATTTAATTAGTTTCAAAATACCCACAAGTACCGCAAACCAAAATCCAGTGCAATCTCAATCATTTAGGTGTTCTGAGCACTCACCAGTCCTGGCATTGACAAGCCCTTGAAGGAGATCAACAGTTTCAATGGGGATAAATATCAGTTTGCCCTTTTGCGTTGAACATGTCAAGCTGACCTACAAGAATATAAGCACTGTAAGGGCTATGATTTTTGTTTTGTCCTCTAAAGTATGCTCTACTTCATCCAGAACGCCACCCTAACAGTACCCAAAAGAGTGCCAGGGATATAGTCTATACTCGAGAAATGATTGTTTTTAATTAAGTTAAAATTTCCTTACACTGAACAACCTGTTATTGCACTTCATATAAGTGGAATCATTTGGTATGCACCCTTTTATATGTGCTAGAGTTTTAAGCTCAACATGTTTTGGAGACTTGTCCTTGTTATTGCATGTATTAGTAGTTTGTTCCTTTTTATTGCTGTGTAGTATTCCATGCATGGACAGCCTACAAGTTGTTTATCCATTCTCTCGTTGGTGGCTATTTGGTTATTTCTGGTTTGGGGCTATTATGAATAAAGCTTCTCAAAACAAAACAAACAAAAGAAATGCTGAAAAAAAAAAAAATGCAAAGGGATAAAAATAGAATGAATGCTATGAATTGAAACTGGAGATATCAGCATAATCTCATGATTTGTGATATATTGATAGAAAAGTACAGAAATTTAAATATAAGTGTGTGAGTGTGTGATATTCCCCAGTTCTGTCTGCTAAAAGGGCCTGGAACCAAGGACAACAGCAGTGAGCACATCTAGCACCCAGAATTTAGTTTCCAGTACCATTCCCAGCTACCAGGAACCAAGGCTATTCAGAGAAATGGCTGCTTCTAGAAGTGGGACAGGAAAAGTACAAGACAAGCATCTTATGATGTCAGAAAGCAAGAAGTGCTCAAAGAATGATGAGGATATGTCACAAGAATATAGAGTCCACCTTGATGAGGTTCTCACTGGACAAATCTGGGAATCAATTAAGCACAGAAATAAATAATGACAGTAATAATTAAATCCACTGAGCAAAACAGAGAACTATGAGTCAGTAAACATAGCTAGCTAGCTAGATAGATAAATTGATAGTTTTGTGAGGAAAGGACCATTTAATTAGTTTCAAAATACCCACAAGTACCGCAAACCAAAATCCAGTGCAATCTCAATCATTTAGGTGTTCTGAGCACTCACCAGTCCTGGCATTGACAAGCCCTTGAAGGAGATCAACAGTTTCAATGGGGATAAATATCAGTTTGCCCTTTTGCGTTGAACATGTCAAGCTGACCTACAAGAATATAAGCACTGTAAGGGCTATGATTTTTGTTTTGTCCTCTAAAGTATGCTCTACTTCATCCAGAACGCCACCCTAACAGTACCCAAAAGAGTGCCAGGGATATAGTCTATACTCGAGAAATGATTGTTTTTAATTAAGTTAAAATTTCCTTACACTGAACAACCTGTTATTGCACTTCATATAAGTGGAATCATTTGGTATGCACCCTTTTATATGTGCTAGAGTTTTAAGCTCAACATGTTTTGGAGACTTGTCCTTGTTATTGCATGTATTAGTAGTTTGTTCCTTTTTATTGCTGTGTAGTATTCCATGCATGGACAGCCTACAAGTTGTTTATCCATTCTCTCGTTGGTGGCTATTTGGTTATTTCTGGTTTGGGGCTATTATGAATAAAGCTTCTCAAAACAAAACAAACAAAAGAAATGCTTCTCCACAAAACAGTAATTTCAAAGGGGAAATGAATAACTTTACAGTGAAGAAGCCAGGCGGACAACACCATAATTAAGTAGTCAAAGTAAATAATGAGATACATCAAAATCATCTGACATATGATAGGCACACCGAGAACACAGCATGACTCCTATGATATTCCTGCCAAAGATGCATGAGCCGAATCTAAACATGAGGAAACATGAGATAAACTGGCCTGTTCTCTTCAAAAGTGTCAAGTTCATGAAAGCCAAGGAAAGACTGAGAAACTGTCCCAGGCAGGAGATTAAAGAGACATCACAACTAAACACAATGCATAATTCTGAACTGGGTCCTTTTGTTAAAGGATATTATAGGGACAACTGGCAAAATTCAAATTAGATCCAAGATGGCATAATGTATCAATATTAATTTTTCTGATTTTAATCACTGTATTGTAGTTACATAGAGAACACCTTTTTTGTAGGAAATAAATACTCAAGAATTCCAGGGTAATTGGTCATGAAACCTACTCTCAAATAACTCAGGAAAAAGACAATTTTTTACTTGCAGATTTTCTGTAAGTTTGAGGAGTTTAAAAATAAAAAAGGTATATATAAGTAGCTCTTTATTGCGTTAACAACTGCAGAGTCCTTATAACGGTATTCATCCCAGGTCTTACACAATCTAACCCCAACTAGTCTTATTTAGACAACTCCTGGACCAAGTCCCTTAACCACACTGAACACTCTAAGGGTTTCTCTTCTCCCTCCTGTCCCTCAGTGTTACATCCTTCCTCCCCTCCCAACCTTAACCTCCACCTAATGAAACCCTACTGTTCAACATCCATCCCAAATTCCCCTCCAAGTTCTTGAAGCCTTGTCTGATTCCCCCAAATGATTTTACTCCTCCCGCTATTATCTCCTTTGGGGAGCTTTATTTGTGTACCTGTGTCATTTTCCATGACTAGATGGTCATGACCTTGAGGCCAGGGACCACGTCCATTCTTCCTTGTATCCATTCAGAGCACAATACACATTCACACACTGAAAACACTCAATATTTATAGAATTGTGCAGTATCTTGACTGAGGTATTTATTCAGCTCAGGACACCCTAGGCATGTGAAGTTCTCTTATTATTTTTCCAGAAAGCAGAAACTGCAACATTATTTAACTGCTTTTCTAGTCTATATTCTTAATATAGACTAAGAATAATAATAAAGTCTTGTAATAAAGGCTCTCAATAATATATTTAACTCATATGAATGGTCTACTACATAATATTCCCAGGACTTCTTACAGCATATCTAGTATCTGGATACTTTCCCTTTTTGCATAAATGGGATGTACAGTAATAGCTTTCCTTTTATACAGTCAAATGGTAGGCAGAATAATGGTCCCCTTAAAGATGCCCACATGCTAATCCTCAGAATCTGTGAATATGTTAGGTTACACTGCAAAGGAGAATTAAAGTTGTAGAATGAATTAAGGTTGCTAATCAGCTGACTTTAAAATATAACGATCTTGGACTTCCTTGGTGGTGCAGTGGTTAAGAATCTGCCTGCCAATGCAGGGGAACCGGGTTCGATTCCTGGTCCAGGAAGACCCCACATGCCACGGAGCAACTAAGCCCGTGCACCACAACTACTGAGCCAGCGTGCCACAACTACTGAGCCTATGTGCTGCAACTACTGAAGCCTGCGTGCCTAGAGCCTGTGCTACACAGAGTAGCTCCTGCTCACCACAACTAGAGAAAGCCCGCATGCAGCGACAAAGACCCAACACAGCCATAAATATATATACATATATATAAATACAAAGATCTTCCTGGATTATTGGTGGGGAAATAATGTAATCACCAGGGTCCTTCTCCAAAGTGAAAGAGGAAGGCAGAAGAGTAGAATCAGAGTAAGATGTGACAACAGAAGAATAGTCAGAGAAATGCAACATTGCTGGCTTTGAGGATGGAGAAAGGGCACCACTGAGCCAAAGAAGGTGAGCAGTCTACAGAAGCTGGAAAAGACGAGAAAACACGTTCACCGCATTAGCCTCGGGGAAGGAAGGCAGCCCTGAAGACACCTTGATTTTAGCCCAGTGACACCCAGTTGAACTTCTAACCAGCAGAATTTTAAGATAATAAACTTGTGGCTTTTAAGCCACTAAGTCTGTGGTGATTTGTTATGGCAGCGAATGAAAAAAACAGCACAAATCACCTATACCCATTCACCACCTATTTCCCTTAATATACTCACATCACCGTGATGTCCCCCCACCCCCCCACCCGCGCCTGATAGAAGCAAATCTTCCCATATGCATGCCTGGCGGCAAAAAGAAAGGAAATGAGAAGGAAGGAAAAAAGGAGGTGGTGATGCACAAAGTTGTTTTTTATTTTGTTTTGTTTTTGTTTTTTAAACTTCTGCATGTTGTATAGATAGGGAAACATCGCATTCTCTTTTGGATATCTCTTTCAAGAAAACCCCTGCATATTCTGAAAAGTGAGGCACGGCTGTCAAAACCTGCTCCTCCTGCCAAGAGAGTAAATGTCCTGAAGGAATCTGTTTTCCTAACAACTGTCTCCAGAGACACTACAAGAACAGTGGGGAAACACAAACCATTTTAAGTTTCAATTTCCGAAATGAAGCAAAGCAAAGGAGACGGGGTCAGAGGCCGGGACGGCACAGAGAAGGCCCCGTGGGCCGGGGGCAGGCGCGTCCCCTCGGCGGCTGTGTGGTCCCCGCGACCCCGGCAGTGGGCAGCGCTGGCGCGCGGCGCTGGGCCTCTGTGCCCGGCCCCCGTCCGCCCCCGGCTCTCCGCCGGGCGTCTCCCCGCGGGAGGTCCCGAGTCCCGCGGAACCTGCCTCGTCGCCATCCACTGCCTCTCCAGCCCTGGACCACTAGAAGCCGGGATGGCAGGAGGGGAAGGGGGCACCAACTCACCCGCCTCGGCCCGCCGACCGCCGCGCCCCGGTTCCCGGAAACCTGGCGCCTTGCAGGTGGAGCGTCCGCGGGAGGCGCTGCAACCTCCGGGCCCGGCTGGCGCCGCCTTGTCCAGAAGCGCCTTGAGCCTTTTTCAAGTGGGTGTCCCCCAGATCAACACTTTGGTTCCTTTAAAAAAAAGAAAGAAAGAATAAAAGGAGAAGAAAACTACTCAAATGATTTTCTTTAAATCTAGTCACTGCTCGAATACCAAACCTGGTGTCTCCAATGATTAGTCACTAACAAGTTACACCTATTTTCACTTCCGATTTTTAAAACTTGTTGGTTTTGTTTTTGTTTTGAGGGAATTTATTCCCGAAGTATTCCTTAAGTTTCCATAGACATCATTTTAGGACATGCTTTAAAAACCACTCCTTTGTATGTATATTACAGGACGTGTTTTTGGAAAAAGTGGATAGAAACCAAATAAAGCCAAAGTGGGAGTCTCTCATCAGATTGTAATGGTAACTCTCATTGTAATTTATTGGTCATTATAACCTTAATCTCCAAATCTTTGCAGCCAGCACAAGGTCAACTTTTGTGTAGAGGTATTTCTTTTGCAATTTCCCAGGAAGTTGGGAAAGCTGTGGTGTTCAGTTGGTTTCTACGACCCGTGTCCCTTGAAAGTTTTCTTATAATCATTTTGTTTTGTTGTGAAGCTTATAAATAAATACTTCACTAAGTGTGATCTTTTCCTTTGAAATGGAAAACATCTGGTTGACTTCAAAAATTGCATTGTTTCTGAATCCTACACAGAGAACCACCCCACAGCTGCACTGGCTGGTAAAAGAGGTCAGGGAGGAGATGTATCAAAATGACTTCCAGGCATAAATTCTAGTTTACAATGCTGTATATTCATATATAACTGATATATAATCTGATAAAATGAAATATTAACCAAAGTCAAATTCCTTTATATCAAGAATATTATATGCATTTTCAAATAAATTAATACATTGAGATATTTCCAAATGATGTAAATATCAATAGGTTTTGATTGCATGCCACTACTGAATTAAAAATTGGTTTGCTCTGCAAAGGGAAAAGGAAATAAACATTTACAGGTGTATTAAATATTCACCTTTTCTATGTAAAAAAACAGAATATTGATGGCAATCAGTTTAAAGTGGACTTTCTAAGTGAAGAAAATAAAGTGGTGCATAGACACTTGTACTCATCAGCCCAGTCAAAATAGTACCAAAACTCTAACTGTGGCAGCCTGAGAATTACTTTTGGTCTTCCTTAAAATTGCGTTTTTTATTTTATTTATTTATTTAAATTTATTTATTTAATTTATCTATTTTTGGCTGCATTGGGTTAAAAAAATTTTTTTATTTTGTTTTTTATTTTATTTATTTATTTAAATTTATTTATTTATTTATCTAATTTATCTATTTTTGGCTGCATTGGGTTAAAAATTTGTTTTTTAATTTTGTTTTTAATTTTATTTTTATTTATTTAAATTTATTTATTTATTTTATCTATTTTTGGCTGCGTTGGGTCTTCGTTGCTGCATGAGGGCTTCCTCTAGTTGCAAGCAAGCAGGGGCTACTCTTCGTTGCAGTGCACGTGCTTCTCACTGCGGTGGCTTCTCTTGTTGCAGAGCAAGGGCTCTAGGTCCGTGGACTTCAGTAGCTGTGGCACCCAGGCTTAGTTGCTCCTCGGCACGTGGGATCTTCCCAGACCAGGGCTCGAACCCGTGTCCCCTGCACTGGCAGGTGGATTCTTAACCACTGCGCCACCAGGGAAGCCCCTTTTATTTTATTTTTGGCTGCACTGCAAGGCTTGAGGGATCTTAGTTCCCTGACCAGGGTTTGAACCCTGGCCCACGGGAGTGAAAGCGCTGAGTCCTAACCACTGGACTGCCAGGAAACTTCCATCCCTTAGAGTTTCAGAGAACATGAACTCCAGAGGTTATTTAGTTCAAACCTCATTTCTTCTTTTATCTTATTTTTGTTTTTTATAAGAAGATACTAAGCAACAGGACCATGACCAGAACAGGACTCATCTATGATTGACTCCAATCCTGTTAAAGGACAAAGGATACAGTTAGTAGGGAAGCCTTTGGGCCACCCACATGCTGAAGCTGAGCCATGTGTAACAGTCTGAACTCAAGTGAACTTCAGGTCCAGTACTCTGCAAAGCATAGGGGTTCCGAAGATGAATAGGCAGCTCCCAGATATATATATATATATATATATATATATATTTAAATTTTATTTATTTTTGGCTGCATTGGGTCTTTGTTGCTGCGCAGGCTTTCTCTAGTTGTGGTGAGCGGGGGCTACTCTTCATTGTGGTGCGCGGGCTTCTCATTGCGGTGGGTTCTCTTGTTGCTGAGCATCGGCTCTAGGTGTGCGGGCTTCAGTAGTTCTGGCGTATGGGCTCAATAGTTGTGGCTCGTGAGCTCTAGAGTGCAGGCTCAGTAGTTGTGTTGCATGGGCTTAGTTGCTCTGCGGCATGTGGGACCTTCCCGGACCAGGGCTCGAACCCGTGTCTGCTGCATTGGCAGGCGGATTCTTAACCACCGCGCCTCCAGGGAAGTCCCAGCTCCCAAATATATTATTGTTAACAATCGTAATTGCAAAGATCTACTGAGAACTCCTAGGCATTTTATAAACCTTTTATGTTTTGCCAACAACAATGTGAGATATAGGTATTATCCCCATTTTGCAGGTCAGGAAACTATGGCTTAAAGAGCTGACCCAAAACCAGGCAATTAATCTGTGATGACATTGATATCTTTCTCTACTCTCAACCATGAAGTCAGTCTCCACACTATGTTCTACAGGGCATGAAAAAAGAGGGAATTCTATGGGCAAGTATGATTAGGAAATGCCGCATACTGGATTCACACTTGGGAGATTCACAATGCACATCCGCATGTTGAATTTTGAGAAGTATTGCAGGGAAAAATTATAGCATACATTTAAAAGTTTAACTTTATTTAATCTTGAATTTATCAAACTCATTTGACCACTAAAGCCTTTTTTTCAAGGAGCAGCTATTAAAACCTTGAAAAGTTTCTAGTGGGGCAATTTGAGTAATGCTTTACTAATGATTTTTTTTTTTTTTTTTTTTTTTGCGGTACGGGGGCCTCTCACTGCTGTGGCCTCTCCCGTTGTGGAGCACAGGCTCCGGACGCGCAGGCTCAGCGGCCATGGCTCACGGGCCCAGCTGCTCCGCGGCATGTGGGATCTTCCCGGACCGGGGCACGAGCACGTGTCCCCTGCATCGGCTGGCAGACTCTCAACCACTGCGCCACCAGGGAAGCCCTTTACTAATGATTTTAATGATTGAGGACTTGCTTCCTCAAAATATGGCACCTTGGCATATTGACTATTTTAAGTGGAAGGAGTTTGAGAAAACAGTAGAAGCAAGACGGTCACTCTGACCTTCCTCCCCACTACCATCCTTCTCTGAAATAGTTCAAAAAGCCTCCTGTGAGAGGTGCTCACCCTATACCTGTAGGAAAGGAGCATTCTTATCTCCAAAGACAAATGGACCCAGAGAAGAATCCTAACAAACCAGCTTTGCTGTTTTCTCCAGTTTACTTCAATTACCTCATACTCTCTGACCTATCATATTCTTCCACGACTATCCTCTCTTCATCAAACCTAGCATAAAAATACTCAATTCTAGGGCTTCCCTGGCGGCGCAGTGGTTAAGAGTCCGCCGGCCGACGAAGGGAACCCGGGTTCGTGCCCCGGTCCGGGAAGATCCCACGTGCCGCGGAGCCGCTGAGCCTGCGCTTCCGGAGCCGTGGGTCTTCATTTCCTTGTGAAGACTTCTGTGTCATGTAAAACGTATGTTAAATAAATTTGTAGGCTTTTCTCCTCTTCATCTGTCTTTGTCAGTTTCATTTTCAGACCCAGCCAGGAACCCTAAGAGGGACAAGGAAAACTTTTTCTTTATATCTATCTTATCTATCTATCATCTATCTATCTATCTATCTAGCACACACTCAATAAATATTATATCGCACATGAGATGCCTTGAACATATCATGTAAATCTACACTGCCATGATATGAGATGTATATTGTGTTAGAAATTTATCTCCCCACCAGATGGCAATGGGCTCCTCCCAGGCTTCCCTATAAATGCACCATCCCCACACACACCAGTGCTACATACTGTACCATGTGTGCTATGAAGTATGATACTAGGAGTAGTAGAACACCAAGGAGAAAACAATCCCCTCTACCTCAGGAAGTCAGGGAATGTTTCCTCCACAGAAGAGCTGAAGATTGAGTTGACTCTTAAAGGTAGAGGAAGTGAACTGAGACCAAAGGTCAGATGAAAAATCCCAGAGAGGCATCATGAGTTTAGTGGATATGCAAATCATGAGAAAACCACCTGATATCTATTATATTATGCTCTTTCTTTTAGAAAAGGTCTAGCACACCAAGTTTATGCTGCTAGTTACCAAGATTTTGGTAATCCTGTTTGCAGTTCATCCTTGGGGAAGTTGCAACATTTATACTGCGCCCAGCATTGTGCAGGGTCCTGGGCGACACAAAGGAATTAGGTAACATCATTCTCATTTTCAAGAGGTTTGCAATTGACATATCAGGAGTAAAGGACTGCGCTTCCCTGGTGGCGCAGTGGTTGAGAGTCCGCCTGCCGATGCAGGGGTCATGGGTTTGTGTCCCGGTCCGGGAAGATCCCACATGCCGCGGAGCGGCTGGGCCCATGAGCCACGGCCGCTGAGCCTGCGCATCCGGAGCCTGTGCTCCGCAACGGGAGAGGCCACAACAGTGAGAGGCCCGCGTACCACAAAAAAAAAAAAAAAAAAAAAAAAGGAGTAAAGGACTGTTGCCAAGAGAGTAGATCTTAAATACTCTCACCACAAAGAAGAAATGATAATTACGTGACATGATGGAGGTATTTAACTGTGGTAATCATTTGACAATATATAAGTGTATCAAATCAATATGTTGTATGCCTTGTTCACCTTAAACTCACACAATGTTATTTGTCAGCTGTATCTCAACAAAGCTGTAAAAAAATAAATAAAATAGTAGACAACGGGTTTTTTTTTTAAGCAAAGGAAAATAAATATTCTACCCCTTACTCTCTATCAGGCAGGCAGT